TTAAAATAACTCTACTAAGAAACCGTTAGGTAGATGGTGACATTATCGAACAAAAATGTCAATCATTCCAAGAAGTAGAGAATATCTGTTATCGGTATTAAAAAAGAAAAAAAGATGTTATTTTCTTTGTGTCGACGTATCTGTTTAAGCTATAGACCTTAAATTAAAGACAGGATAACATGATGATATTGTTAATATAAAGAATGCCAGGATATACCCCTTGGAACCTAAAAATTTGGTAATAAATAAAATAAAATTGTTGTAAAAGACGGTGTTAAGAGACCTATTTAAGTACTGAAGGGTAAGGCTTATTATGCGTAAAATGTTACAACTCTCAATAAACACATAATTCTTGACTAGTGATAGAAAAGTGACGTATTAAATACTGTATTTGATATATAATTGAATTAATATAAGGATGGGGTAAGAGGGGCAGTTTTAGCGGAATACATTATTACGCAAATAGGATAATTTAAAATGACGTTACTTCTATATTCAACACAATGGAACGCGTGACACACACCACCTCGCTCATAAGCGTTATTGCTTGCCTGGACTTGGGAGAGAACACCCGTTATTTAGGTCGAATACGTAAAGTAACAAATACACGATTTAGTCCAGTTCAGACAATTTTAGTGACTTTTAACATATCCACACCCATTAAACCACAAAAGATATATCCAAATGGTATCATTCATTAGCCTTTAGGAAAAATAAGTACAGAAAATAATTTCACTACAATAATTAACATTCGTCATTTACTTAAATAATTTAATAGAAAATGATTTAAAATGTAATGCCAGATAATAAAAAAAAACGAAATGTCTTATTCAAAACAAGAAATACAACACATCGGTATACGTATTAAAGATAAGTAACGGATTCTTAAAAAAAAAAAAAGAAGACATAATTAGGGATTTCTAATACATCCAAGCAATAGCGGATCCAGGATTTAATTTTGGGGAGAGGAGAGGGCTTCAGTCCGAAAGCTATTTTTTGATATATATAAAGATAATTATTTTGAAAAAAGAAAAGAAAAATAGAACTAATAAAAATAGATTTAATTTTGGGGAGAGGAGAGGGCTTCAGTCCGAAAGCTATTTTTTGATATATATAAAGATAATTATTTTGAAAAAAGAAAAGAAAAATAGAACGACACTATCTATATGAAATGGTTTTTAAGTGATTCTTGGAGTCCTATTAAATATAATTACACGAACAATAATTAAGAGATAATTCTTTTATATTTTTACCACAAAACATGGTTATGTTTTACCATTTTGGGGAGGGAGGGGAGGGCTTCAGCCCGAAAGCTCCCTCTCCTCCCCCTCTCTAGATCAGCCTGAGCATCCAAGATACATTTACACGTTTATCTTGTTTTTAAAGAATAGAATTTAACACAGCAACTTTGTTTTCAAAACATCTATCTTTCATTTAATAAAATAAAATCAATCTTGATAGACCTATAAAACATATCTTGATAAAAGGAAATATGTACGTTAAAATCATTATCAATAACCGTGATCCAATGTAATCTTAATAATTACATAATGCATTTACATAATCATTATCCATATAAAGAGGTTCGGCATAACCACCTCGTGTCATGGATTTTATAATAGCAATTTATAGTGACAATGGCACTAGGGTGAGAAAATCGACCGAAACCGATTTCCGTTCTACAGGAAGAATGAATCAGGTGAGGAATATTAAAAACTTCAGAAAGTATGACCTAATTTTAGGGTAATTTTCGATTTTGATTTTAAATAAGAAAAAAAGGGAAATCAAAATAAATAATTTGCTGTTTGATCACTTAACTAACTGATGTAGGCTACAGACTTCAAAAGATGATAGGTATGTTTTTATGGGAGAGATAGAGGGAAGAAGAAGAATGTATTGTGATCCAGAGAATATGAATGATTCAAATAGACTGATTAAACGCAAATTTAAACATATTTTCCAATATAGCCTGACAGAAACCTCTGGACCCGAAATATCTGTATTTCTTGAATTACTGGAACAATCTGTTTGAAAAAAAAAAGTATACAAAGTAATTTATATACAAAACAACATGGGGATTAACAAAAGGTTCGCGTGCGTAATAATGAATTTAACTGAACTTGGACCTGATTTTTTTTTTTGACAACCATAATTGCAGGTAATTAATACGAAACTAGACAAATAAATAGGGACAATCGAAGATCGGCGGACAGAGAGAATGCGATTTGCTGGCAAGAGGTAACGGTGCCGCCTGGACAGGTCCATGTTGGGGCAAGGCGTCAGCGTGAGTCACAGCCATCCGGTCTTACTTCACTCCTAGCATTCTCAAGCGTTTACCGTCCACCGCTTCCGTTCGCTATACTTCATCGTATCATAGGATTCCGGATGGATGGGTAACGAACTGATAATGTAGCCTGCGAGACGAACGGTAACATCGATACACATACCGTAGAGCTCGCGCTGACCAGATGTATTTAGGGTGAGGTATGCAGAGAATGTTCTAGAACCATGGAGAAAGTTTTTACCGGAATGTGATTATCATAGAGCTTGTGTTAAAAATATTCTCGATAGGGCAAGAACTCGCTGAAGATGTCTAAAAACAATAAACTTCAAATTGGGTCTAAAAAATGCCGAGGCGATTTGCAATTTAGTTTATTTTTATTAAGAGGAAAAGGCAAACATATATTATCTCAAACCTTAAAAATGTCAAAAATAGTCGTAAGAACTGAACCGTAGATGATTAGAAAGATGAAAACGGTTCTAGAACACTTGTTTTTAGCAGAACACTTCAGATTGGTGTGAATGAATAGTAAAATATTTATTATCCTAAAAATGATCAAACCACTTATTTAAATAAAAAAAGAAAATAGATAAAAAAGAAAATGTGGTATTTTCATAAAAAGGCCGATGGATAAACGCGGCCTTCGGTCGGATGCCAGGCACTGGCAGCCTGTTCCGTAGGCCATTCACACTCGCCGTCATGTATATTTTAGGAAGTCTATGAACCTTTTTAATGAGCTCAAAAACCAACGCAAAGACATTTATAAGAAGAAAGGAAAGGGAAAAGGCGATAGATACTTCGTTGGTTGAATATAATACCAAAATGAAAAAAAAAAAAAAAAAAAGAAATGCAGGAGTAACACGAACCATGTGTTTGCCGTATACGTTATCAGGTTGTACGGAACTTGTGAATGCGCAGCCGTAACTGATAAATCTTTAATCAATGACTGTTGGCGAATGGACCGGACGAGGGGCGACTTAACATTCTATGAATCCAACATTTCTCAAAGGAACGGCAAGTTATGCAACAAACTGTTACTGTTTCCGTTGATAATGGCAAATTATAATGAAAGTGGTTGGTAAATGATATAGCGGGATGAAATGTCTGATAAGAGGAAACCTTTGGAACAGTTACATATTCAAAACCGACACCAGCTGCCTACTAGGTATATTACCCAGAATACACCCTATTGTCCAGGTAACTCCCCTTCCTGCTTCTCCCTTTGTCAACACGTTTCCTGTTAGTTACATTCTACACTCTCTTACCACAGGTATCATTTCACTAAAGAACGTAGTATGTATCTAATGACACAATAATTTGGAAAGCTTGTAGCAACCAACCCTTAATAAAATAGTCTTAATAGGCGGAGTGAGAGCAAGGTATATACATTCCATAAGACTTCGTAAGTACTTAACAAATACACCATATTTTAAAACAAAATTTAAGCTATTAATAAAAAAATTGCCATATTATAAAATAACCATGATAGACGTAAAAATAAAATGTTCTTGATTTAAGAATTCCTTTTTAATGATTTGGAAAAACGACACGGCACTTGGAAACAATTTTATTTAGATTCGATTAATAGAAAAAAGTATTCAGACCTCGTAAAAAAAAATAAATCGATCATTGTAAAATTTGAAATTCAAGGATTGTAAGAAATCATGACAAGGATTGTTAAAAGTTAATGGCAATTTCAAGATTACTAGAAAAACAATCGCGGTATCACTACGCACTGATAAAACGTTCACCACGTGTTATCTCGTTAATACGAAGAATTACAGGAAAATTACTAAATTAAGACGTAGTGACAGAACTGTCTATTATTTAACGGAGGAAAAACTAATATAAATAGTAAACCGAATAATAGAAACGATCTTTTTTTCTTTAACATTGCATATTTGGAACGTCTCCAACTGATACATATGAACTTAACCATAGTCCTACTTCGAAAATATAGAAGGAAAATAGGATGAAATATTCTCTAATACTGAAATAGATTTTTGAGAAATTTAACCGACAGAAGAGATATTGATAAGGCATTATGTTGCTGTCTAATGAGACCATCGCATGGGCGTGGTCACAAGTCAAAAGAGAAAATAAGTACTCTAAAGAGGTTATTCTTAGAAAGAAACTATCTATACAGTCTTTATATTGAAAAATGGTTGAAAAAGAAATTTTAAAAAGAATTTGTGCTTAATGAATGAAAAATCTACATGTAATTTTTGAAATTATAATTAATGTATTTCATTTAAATTTACAACAAATGGAAACCTGCACTTGCAAATAAAAGGAAAAAAAAAACACTTTACACTTAGTTAAAAAATGAAGACTGAACAAAAGAAATTTAATACTGCAAAGCTGAGATAAGACATAAAAAAAGGGTGAAAAAAATGTTTACATCAGCAGGCAAAGATAAATAAAAGGAACATATTTCTTGATTTTGTTTTCACTATAAAAAAAAAACTAGGAAAATAATAAGATTTAAAATCATTAGTTAAAATTAAACAAAGTAATTAATTGAGAAATCTGAATGATTTTTTTTAAAGAACAGCACTAAACTGCAGTTGGGATAAAATAAATTAAGAGAGATGTCATGGTCTAATCTTATTTCTCGAATAATTTTCTATTCAGTTAAAAAAATTACGTTACATGCACCAAACCTCTTTTACAAGATTCTGTGATACACAACCATACAGTAATTAAAATTTGAACTTACTAAAACGTCGTAGCAGATGTCCCTCAGTTCTTTTTCAACCTTTTCTCTGTATTCCCTGGCCATCTGTTGTTTTCTTTCTGAGCCTTCGGTTTTCTGTTCAATAGATGAAATTACCCTCCAGGAGGACCGCCTGGCTCCTACAACATTTTTGTAGGCGACAGAGAGGAGATTCCGTTCTTCGTTTGAGAGTTCCACTCCAGTCTCGGTGACGGATTTCATGGTTGATGCCATGTCATCATATCGCTCGGCTTGTTCAGCCAGCTTCGCCCTCTGGACTAGCTCCTCTTTGTCCACCGACATGACGAACCCTGTTAAGTAAATTAATTATTGTTAAGTAAATTAATTATAAGTTGAATGGATGTTTTAATTTAAATCCATCCTAAATAAACTAGATCCAAGTTTTATACTCTTCAGAAAGATTACCTGGAATCAATAGTATCAAGAGAACATGTAATAATATGAAATGAATGTGATTGATTTTTTTAAAATGAACTTTGCTGCTGAAATAATGTTTTAATTAAAAAATAAGATTAATCAATAATAATATTGAAGAATCGAAAGAAAGAACCGAAAGAACAAATGAAAACTTAAAATATGAACATTCAGATGAGTCATTGAATTTCTATTAAGGCCTTTCTCATAGATGTGAAAGTTTTAGCTTGGACAAAGGGCTATAAAGTAATTATGTTTAAATGATAAAGAATTTTATTTAAAAAAAGTTTTTAACATATTTATCTAAGTTTTATGAACATAGAATTCTGCTTAACCTACATATGTATGATATTAAAAATTCTGTTCTTATCTTAATAGGTCATTGACACAATGGCCTTGAAAAGCATTTTACTATAGAAAATGGATACTGAATCGTGAGTAAAAGAAAGTTCATTAAAAATAGTCTCTCAGGGACCGCACCAGACACAGTTTGTCTAAAATTGGTCAAGACGGTTGCTAAGAGAGGGAGAGATGAGCTCACTACAGCATTCCGACAAACTTACCTTTTTTTAGTTAAAGGTGGACTAGATGAACGAAGTGGGAAGACCAATAGACCTCCGAAAATTACACCTTTCCGGATTACAATAACAATAATTAAAACGCACTAACACTATTGCCGCTGGCTATTACTACCAGATAATATACAATATATAGATGTAATAAAATAAAAAAATCAAAATTCTGATTTATTCTAGAAAGACACTGGGAGAATTGACATGGTCTAAGACGTAGTACGGAGAGGGTGGCATAGAATGCGCAGGCGCGAGGCCGCCTCCGGATCGATGATGGTACACCTCGTTGTCCCCACTAGCTTATCCTAACCCCCCTCTTCCCCCCCTTGGCAACGCGGCGACTTTGGCACGTAGCAACGTCGTAAGCGTTGCACAATTGGACCCTGGCAGCTCTATGCCAGAGCTACCGAACAGAATGTAAAATGAAGGTTTACGCAAAATTGTACAAATAAAAATTAAAAAGACCACTAATCGTCTCAAAACCTAAGGAATACGCCTTCTAAAACCTAGAACCACTAGAAATCAATACATGTAGCAGTTCGATGATCAGCCTCTCACTCAGACTGGTCACCACCCACCTCTCATCAACCTGTTAAAGTTATCATTGTAGGAACGGCCAATTAAACAAAAAGCTTCGAATACAACATACACGAGCTATTTATCCAATCGAAATTTCTTGAACTAAAAATTCAATTATACCGTTAATTATAAAATATTGACATGTTAATAAACAATGTTAGAACATGGCAATCATAAAAAAAGATATGTAATCACTTACAGGTGATAGGAGTAAATGAAAGCAAATTAAAATAATACACAAACAATATCCTATCAATGAATATAAAATTGACTAACAAATTTCACGATATTAATAATGATTATTAACCATATAGATTAATAATATCTTGAAATAATTGTAATTGAATAGATTTAGAATTCCTGGAATAGTTAGTTATCATATAATCGATTGAACATTTGCTGTCACAAAGAAAATTAACTTCAAATGAGTAAAACCACATTAAGATATACATATGCAAGACTAAGTAACCTATAAAGTAATTTTGCAGGGAACATGCATTCATTTCAACACAGACATAGAAGGATAACTACAACATAGGATCAGACAAAATTATATTAATACGCTCAAAACGGCATAATAAATTGCGTACATATTAACTCGAGTATAATAAATTTTCTAGTAACTCGCGATGGGTGTGAGAGGTAACAGACCATAAGTTCAAATAACGGATTAAATTAATACTTTAAGTACTACTTACTTGAATGTAAGATCTAGAGTTAGATGCAAATTGATAAAAATAACTTTTAACAACTTTAAAACTGATCCAGCAACAATCAGAGAGTTGAAAAAAAATCAAATGCCGGTAAGGCAAATTACTAAACCAATATGGCGTTATACCGCATTGGACACTCCTCGAAATGCGTCATAAGTTAACCAGTTTATTATAAAGAACTGTTACAATATAAAACTAGATAAATAATAAAAGCTTAATGTACTTACGAAAAAATTAACAGGTTAGCCAATAAGTTTTGAACACTAATATCTAAGCCTTCCACAATCCACACAAAAGTTACCGGAGCCTACCAGGTCACTATAACTCGGCTCTAAAGCAAAGGCTGTGGGGATCAACGGAAAAGCAGCTGAAACCTTAATCGTTTATCTGACGATATATTTTCACACAAAATCACCAAAGAAGATTTGTTTTTCTTTTAAATCCAAGAAAAAAAAATTTAAATTAGCAAATTGTAACGATTAAATTATGCATTTCATGAAATTCTACTTTTGAATAATGTTCGTATAATGCGAACATTAACAAAATTACAAATGTTTTCAATTCTACCAAACAAAAGAAAATCTGATTCATAAACTACATTTTATCAAAATTATCACTAATGAAATAGTTTAAAAAATAATGACTTTAGAACACATTTTGAAATAAAAAATGTGATTGCTGCATCTGAAAAAATAACTTTTTTTACAACAAAATACTTTCAAAATTCAAATCACTAAAGCTTTTTTTACCTTTATTTTTTCTTATTAATCCTTTTTCTAAATCCCAAAAAAACTAGGGAGGTTTCTAGTATGTTATACTACTTATGGGAGAATCGTTGTTTGTAATAAAAATACAAAATTAATAGTAATATAAAACATTAATTTTGAGTTAAATTGAAATTAGTTGAATTTGTAAGCATTTTGCTGCTAATAAAATTGGTTCAATTATATTAGGCAGAGGTAAATATTTTGTTTATTTAAAGGTGGGTTTAGACATTTCAAAAACTATGGGAAACAAATATTTTAATGTTTTTCACCCATGCTAGTGTTTTTATTTCTTGTTTTTGTAACAAGAGAAATAAAAAAAAAGTTGGGCTTAGGGCTTATGCCACTGTCAGCTTAGTTAGATTATTGTATTTCTCATAATTTGTTAAATGTTGTAACGCATTTTAAAACCTCTATCAGTCAATTGTTTATTGATTCATTATCGTTTTAATTGGGATCAACAGGATCCCTATTATCAACGACATAATAATCAATTATTATTAGATTTTTACTAAGCCTTAAAATTTACTAAATTTTACTTCTTGAATAAAAACTTTTGAATATATGTTACAATTCTTATTAATCGATTCCTCTTCTTCACTGAACAGCGTCGAAAATCTTGCTTATTGAGCCTGACCGTTGTATCTAGATCTTGCACCAGCAAGATTGTGTTTATTCAGTCAATTACTCTTCTAGCAAAAGCCTCTCTGACCACTATTTCTCAACAGTTTCTGGACTATCCTCCTTACATTCTCACCTCATATGTGATTTTGGCCATTCTTTCCTTCTGCATTCTTTTGACATGGTCTAACGATCATAGCCTATTTTCCTCTATTATGCTTTTGACTGCATTCATAATAATTAAATAACAGATATTCTCAAATATTTTTCATCCAAGTTTCTAATATTACTTAAAAAGATATGATACAAAGACACATTAATATAAATAATGACAATTAAACATTGTTTAATTACTATAGTTGTAAATCCTTTAAGAATTTATCAGCAAATTTAAATTCAGTACCATGTAAAGCCTTATTGAACCAAAAAAAGTTTTCATTAATTGTGAGAATTAACCCCTAATAATTTTTTTAATAATTAATCTCTAACTTTTTTTTTCTTAATTGATTTAAGTAACTTATACTATTTTTATAATGATTATTTAATTACTTTGTGATAATTTTTTATAATCTCTGAGGCTCCATAGCCAACATTTTTGTTTTTCTGTATTATTCTAAAGGGGCTCATCCCACAATAAATAAAGTATTATTATTAATATCAAAACCACATGGAAACCCAAAAACCAGATGGATAAATTGAGTCAACACAGATCCTGCAGACCGGTATGCCGCACTGAAATAAAGTTATTATAGTTATTACGCTTACATCAGATAAGTAGAAAGTTATAGCCCAAGATAGGCAGAGATGAAGAAGGCTTCTTAAGACGGCCACAGACCTACAAGATCTGTAAAGCCAATAGAAAAAAATATCACAACTAATCCAAATAATGTGTCTTTCAATTTTATAATGGTATTAGGAAGACATTTATTTTTTCCAAAGGTATAGTTAAGTCATTAATGTTCAGCAGTAAATGTTTTCATCATCTAATAATGGATAAGTAAAGTTTTTTTTTTAAGTATCTGGCCTAATTTGTTGATTCATGGAATTATCTCCTTTGCTGGAATTCTGCCAGCTATTGATGATGTCCCCAACCTGTGCTGGTTATTTATTGCTTATGATAGTACCACCATAAATCGAGATACCATAGATGAAATAAAACATTTAAGAAATCTCATTTTATTCTAGGTTGATGTTTCGGCCTATGTTTTAGGCTTCTATCAGGAATAAATAGCCAACATATTAACAACCAATAAGATAAATAAGAAGATTAGGACAAAAAAAAACAATACTGTTTTTTTTATCTTATTTTCTTTTAATAATTTTTTTCTTGCTGTTTTTACTTTGGCCAAAATGTTACCATACAATAAAAAAATATTTTTTATTTGTATGAAACAAAATTTTCAGTCAAGATATTTTTATTAGATTAGCCGACGTTTTGACCCAAACATGTGGATCATTGGGCTATCCACAAGAACTCGACTTCCAAGCGATAGCTCTGAGGATCACCGACATGTTTGGGTCGAAACGTCAGCTAATCTAATAAAAATGTTGACTGTAAGTCCGGAAAATTTTGTTTCATCCATAAAATTGATCAGTGGTCTATTTACCAATCTATAAAATTCTTATTTGTGTTTTTTTATTTCATCTATGATTGCACTTCCCAACTAACTTCTCTTACTTTAATATTAATAATTAAAAATACTTGATATTATTTTATGTTTGAAAAACTTTTTCTGTAAACAATTTAAATACACTTGTCTCACAGAATACTTGATATTTTAAAATAATGAATTAACCTAGTCTGATTTAAAATATGTGCAGTGAACGGACACAGCTATATTATGTATATTATTCAGTTTTGTTAGTTATTAATGGTCTGGGTTTTAAATTTTTGCTTTTTTGGGTAGTGGATTATTTTACTAATTCTTATGGAGTTGCTATAGTGATGCCTTAACACTCTTGTCCATCATGAGTTCTTATATCCTGTGATCTCAGATCAGCTTGCCTGTGGGGCCTGGTGGCCGAGCGCGCTAACATGTGTGCACAGCACCGCTGTTGCCTGGTAACCAGATAAACAGATACTAAGATGATGAAATCACTACAAGTTCACATCCCGGTGCTTTTAACTCTGGCATTAATTTCCTGATCCCGTAAAACCCCCCATATAGCCTAAAAAAAAAAAAAGACCAAGTTTCCTATTTTTACCCATTTCCCACCACATATTTTTATTTCTGTGATTCTCACCTTGTATTTTGATACCCCTTATCTCTTCTTAGAACCTTAACTGAAGAGTTCTTTATTTCTTCTCTTGCTCTGTATGCACTTATCTCATTACCTAACTTGATTTCCTTCAGCTCAAGTCAACACACCAGTCGATGCTCTTGATTTATAAAGCCCACAGTAATTTTTTATCATAATTTTATTTAATTTGTTAAAACATTTTTCATTTACTATATTTTTCACCAATGCTTTCCATCATATTTCCAGTATTTCATTAATTTAAGATGAAGACATTATATCTTTAATCCATATATTTCAGAGGATATTTTTCATCTTATTCTTGTTACCTATTTTCTAATCTCATACTGGTTCAATTGAAAAATTGCAGGTAAAAGCAATGTGAATTGTAATTTCTTATTGACTTAGAAAAGAAAAATATATATATATATATCTATATTAAAAGTATAATTTTATATATATGTTACTATAATTTTTATCTATATGTATTCAACCTTAAAGAAGTAATAGATTTGAATTTAGTTAAATAAAAATGGATGGAGATTTCTTATATAACTTAAATTTTGATAGTTATTAAGATCAGTAAAATTATTTCTGAGGAAAGCGAGTAGCAACTAATTTACCTTTGACTACATCAACATCATCATGTACATCAAATGGCTTTATTAGTGGATGCATTTTATTGTCATGAAACAAATCTTGTAATAAAAAATTGATTATAATTGTTTTCTACTTAATGTTGTAATTATTGTAAATAAAATACTAAAGAAGGTGATTAATATTTCTTAAAATGTATTTATTTGAAGATTCATCTACAGCTGTTTAAATTACTTTTTTGTTTTATTAAAACCGTGTAAATTAACTTATAGTTTTAAAATTGTTCGCTATTACTTTGAACTAATCATATAACATTCTTTTAAAAGTTAATTTTTTTTTTCATTGAAATTATTAAATGGTTCATTTGTTAAATTTCCTTTGTTTTTTGGTCACTTTCATTCCATGGGCAAGGTTGTTAGTGGATTCCAATAAATAGTAACTTTACATGAGGTTTTATGTCATTTTCTTGCAAACTAATCATTTTTAATCATGTTGTGTTCTCAAAACCTTAAGTGATTTGGTATATTTGAAAAAGATATTTATTCTGGTGACAAAATATTTATTAATTAGGATCATGATATATTGATTGGCCTGTTATGAGGTTCAATTATTTTTTTTATTATAAGTCAAAAAATCTGGTGCGCGCAACACACAACTTTCACTTACCGATTTACTATGAATAGAAATTATTTTCTGCTAATACTGGGCTATTATAAAATTTTTTAAAGTGCATTTTAAACTGAGCTAAAGCTTAAAGCTTACAGATAACAATTCATTAAGACCATTATAATTACAAAATGTCTATTTAATATATCGACAACAGGCAATAAAAATCTAGTCACTCCATCTGCTTTTATAAACCACACAACTTTCTTTGCTTTTATAAACTTCTGAATGACTAACTCCAATTTCAATATTTTAAGGTGATGTCATTTTAGTGATATTTTTAGTTGAAAAAGTTATCTATGCAGAATATGAGTAAGTTGATTCCGGAGGTGGTGATTGCAATGTTTAAACATAGAACTGACAATAAAGATATAAATTTAGGTACTTAAAAATGTTCTTAGGAAATATTCTTTATTAAATATCTGTAGAAAAAAGGTTTTTTAAGTCTCAACAATTAAAAAAGTATATTTTAAATTTATCCAAATT